ACAAGGAACAGGAGTTCCCAGTGATCCTCTGTGTTCAGGTGGAAAACTTCAAATTTGCACGACCCTCTCACAGTAGATGTACTTTGTGTGAAATCCAGCTGCTTCTTCTATAAATTAGTTTGTGTTTTGAAGGTCTTTTCAACCCCCTTCTCTTTCTTCCTCTAACTGTTGTTGCTATTTAGCCTGGTTGTTGCTCTATCTTCTACTCTGAGTTGGCTAGCATGCTTTCCTTCAACAGTGAGAAAAAGTGCTTACCACACTGCAAATGTGGTGTGGCTTTACTAGCAAATTTGTCTAGTGGAAAGACCAGAGAACTTGTTTGTGCATTCACACAACTGGAAAGCAAGTTTCCAGTGTGGGTTTTTATGTTAGCTGTGGCCAGAATTACTTTTCATGTCTTAAATACTAGCCAGGTGTCAGGTAGTTATATTCCTTTCCACAATGCAGTGGAAAGTGAGCACCTTACATGAAGAAAAAAGCTACTACTTACTTTTATCTCCCCAGCACAAACAGTGTATGTTGTTTGGGGCCACATACCTTGGTCACTTTTGCAGAAGGGAGGATGCGGTTAGCCTTCTCTTAAACATATAGCTTGACCTCCATGGTCTTGTGCTTGGTGAACCTCATTGGTCCTTTTTTACTGGGTAGTTTGTGGGGAACAGCTGGCTAGCAGTTCTTCCCTGTTTTATTAGGCAATGTAGTTCATAAAAGTTGCAGCCTTCAGTTTAACCATAATCCTATGTGGAAAGTCTTGTTCACTGCTGTGTCTGGGCCAGAGACGTTTACATCACTGCAATCAACAAGCACTTAAAGCAGTTACTCCTTAAATGACCTTAGGTTAGCAGGAAGCAAGATGGAAGAATGCCCTTCCAAAAGCAAGGACTTCCAACTTGTTTTTAACATGTATAAAAACAAGTGATTATTTACCATTTCCACTCAGTTGTCAATCTAGTCAGCCACATTAATCACTGAGTCTGACTCAAGGCTCAGTAATCAAGCAGTGCAGAGAGAAGGACTATCTGGTAAAGACATTAGAGACTATACCAATGAAGAAGAAACAGTTTGGGTTTTATTTGTAAATATCTAGTGCAATTAAAAGCAACAGCTGCTTTCTACTCTGCTCCAGAGCTGAGTGGCAAAATCAACACAATAACACAAGCAAATATCTTAACTTTTTTTTTAATGCACATTCACCTTTTTTTGCAACAATTTTGTTTTTCTTTTCAAGAATGACACTTTCCTTGTTCAAACAGATGTAATGGCTATTTCCATCTTGAAGAATAGGAGGGTCTATGGATCTCAGGTGCAGAGCCTTGAAATAGAAAAACTGATATGAATGAAACACAAAAGGAAATGCATGTGTTTGGGTAATCACAGGAAAAAACAGCAGAACAGAAGTTAAAATAATGGCTTCTATTGGTAGCAGAGGATACAGCTCCTGTCAGTCACTCTAAGAAATGTGCTGTTTCCATCAAGGCTGAAGACGACAGCACAGATGACTGGCTAGCTAATGATCCTGCATTCCTGACCAGGATGGCAAAAAGGTTGCAGGCTCTCACACATGCTGTTCTTTCTTCTGTCAGCCCCAAATTCCGCCTCATTCAGCTTTATTCACACCTTTCCTCAGAGCGTTTGGCTATTTACTATGTAGATACTTGCACGTAGGAAATGCAACCTTACACTATATTATTAAAAAACCACACATTCACAAAGGTCTAGTTTACACTTGTACAATTCGCATTTGCAAACACAGTAGACTGTGTATGTCACAATTATTTAGTCAGGGTAACTTAAGAACAAGAGGGTAAAGGAACCATAACTGGAAGTGTGCTATTCTTCAAACTGAAACTTATTATCAACCATTGTTTTCTAATTGAACTTGAACAAAATGATGGAGAAAAAAAAAGTGAATATTTCTGATTGCCAGCTCCAAACAACAGCAGAAATGAAAAGCAATGGCTTGCACTGAAAAATGTGAATAGGAGGGTGTATTGAAATCTAGTCAAGATTTCAACGACAAAAACATTTCAATTTGAAAACTTCCCTAGAGGGGATGTACTGTTACTAAGAATCTGTACCTCTTCACATAAAATGTGCTTGATGAACATTGACAAATAAGATGTATAAATATTTGCAGTCTGATTGTTTGCTCCATTATGTTAGCGTAAAGTGAAATAATGGTAAACAACACTCTTTTGTAGTTTTAGTCTTAATTAAAATATTAACTCCACCAGAAAGCTTTAATCTTTTACATTGATTTTTTTTTAATATAGTTAAAAAAATGAATTTAGTACATCCCTGTTGTCCATATACTTAACAACTGCAAGGAGGCTCTTGAGGCTTGAGTTGTCCAGTTACACTTCAATGCTTTGATGTCTCCTGGGGTACTTTCTGTTCATCTTTCTTGGCAGTCAGCAACCATGTGTTTATCCATATCAGGTATAATTTGTATTTCCAAAATTATGCCTTAATACGTAAGTACTAATTTAAAGAGATCAGCTACACAACCTCAAAACAACTTTAAATGCCATATTCAAGACAAAACAGTTCTTTCTATACTGTTTGCTCATTTAGATGATGATGCTAACTTTTAATAAGCTTGAGTGATTTGTGTGGGAAAAAGGAATATAATCTAAGAAGAAAATTAAATTTGGGGGTGTGTATTATAACACATTTATTTGTTGTATTTCAAATGAGAATAACTATAGCCTGGAGACCTGGAGCACCTTCCTCTCTGATCAATCTGCTTTTGCTCTCACAGCCCGAACACCCCTAATTCTCATCTTGGGGTTTAATAGAACCCTGCTTCTCCCCAAAAGCATTGGGAAGCTTTGAATTTGTCTTTTAAGTTCTTTCTTAATGTGATTGAGGCAGAAGTGGCAGGAATATGAACAGTTCCACCAACAGTGGTTTATCAGTCACATCTGATTGTCTCCTGATGGGAGCGTGCAGCTTTTAAATGTCAAATGCCAATTGTACAATTGTTCAGCATGTCAGGAATCATAAAGGAAAATTCCATGTTTGTCACTGTTGCTCTTCCCTCCAAAGAACGCTGTTCAGCTGAGCCCTGATGTGGATCTCGATGAATTTCCTAGTTAAAAGAACTTGCAGTATAATTAGGCCAAAAGATGATTTGAAGTGAAAAATAGTTGATGAGTAACAAGTTTAATTTGTTTTGAAGCATTAAGTGGCAAAGATGTGTGTCTGTTTTTCCATTAGACGTTAAGGTCTTTTCTGCTTTTTTCTCCTTTTTTTTCAGAATGTCATTGGGAAAGCATTTGGCTTCAATTCTGCAAACACTTGAATACATGAGTAATAAGGAATCATCTTGATCCTGCTGAGGATTGAGTAAAACAGTGTACTTGTAATACTGGAAATTTCTGACATACATTAAAAAAAATCCTGAAAGAGACTGAAACAGGGATGATTTCTATTCAGGTATTACACAAAGTCATTCTAAAAATTCTTAGCTCGATGTTGAATCCATTAAAGTACATCTTTAAACAGTTTTATCTGCCTCTTTTGTTCAAATTGTTGTGGAAACTATGCCTGAAGAATTGTTATCACTTCTTGTATTGGAAGGATTAAACAGGAATAAAACCTCAAAGTACATGAAATTCTGATAACAGGAGAGGATTCAGAGGTTTCTTAGTAAAACAGAAACAGTATGAGTCAGCAATGTCATACCGTGAAGAAAGCAAACATCATACTGGGATATATAAACAGCAGTATTGTATGTAAGACACATGAAGTAATACTTCCACTCTACTCAGTACTCATAAGGCCTCAACCAAAGTACTGTATCCAGGTTTTGGCATACCACTTCAAGTGGAGAGAGGCCAAAGGAAAGCAACAAGAATAATCAGAAGTCTAGAGAAGACTTCAGGAAAAGACTGAACAAAGAGGTGGTGTTTAGTCTACGGAAAAGAAGACAGACTGAAGACACACTAACAGTTTTAAAGTATGTGAAAGACTGCTGCAAAAGAGGGTTATAAACAGTTCTCCATGGTCATTGTGCATAATAAAATAATGGTTTAAAATCCAGTTACGGCTACGTTGACAAGTTTTCTTACCAATTGCCTTTATGAGTAGAAAATTTCTGAGTAGATCATGTAAGCAAATGGTGGCATCCCTATCTGGCGGGCTTAGAAGGTTCGGCAAAGAGCCGTCAAGAACGGCTGAGCTGCAACATGAGAAATGAGGCTGGACTGGGTGCAGTGCTTGCTGTCATGTTTGCTTTCTATGTTAGCACATTTCTTTTAAAATATTGACATATCTTGTTGCTGTGCAGAAGCCCAGCCACGAAGGAGACTTGTCCATGAGGGAGGATGTTGCTAGAATGAAAACACCACCGCTCCACCAAGGCGGGTCACCTTTGCCAGGAAGCACTCCGGGCCACCCGCCGGCTTTCTGCTCCCCAGAGCACCCTCGAGGAATCACCCCCCTTTCATTTTCCCCGCCTGGGCTGCCCTTCCCGGGGAACCGGAAGCCAACACCGTCAAGAGGGCCCGGCGGAAAGGGGAGAACAGACAGCTCCCCGCGCCTGAGAATTCACCGCACCGGCCGTTGGAGCCGCTAGCCCCGCCCCGCGCCCTCTGACCACCACGTGCCTTAGTTACCGCGCGGAGCGTCACTTCGGGGCTAAACCACTGCTGCGCGTAGCGGAGAGGCGGGCTGAACTATTCCCCCAGCCGTTGGAGGAGGGGGAGCCGGACGGAAGTGAGGGCGTCACAGGTGCCCCCTGCTTGTGCTTGTTGCTGTAGCGCCCGTCCGCGATATACTCTCTCCCCCTTCTCTCCTCTCCCTCGTTGGTTTCGTCCCATGCGGGCCATAGCGACTGCGGGAGCGCTGAGGGAAGATGGCGGCTTCGGCCTCTGCGCTCCTGCCGGCTCCGTGAGCGCGGCGCTCGCTCCTTTCCCCCTTTGCCTCCTTGCTGCTGTACCCCGTTCCTCCCGGCCGCCCTCCGCCTCTTCTCTTTCCCCACCGGGGGCGTAGGGAGCATGTCGGACTCGGAGGAGGAGGAGAGTCCGGACCGCCAGCTCAAGCTAGTAGTGCTTGGGGACGGCACCACTGGCAAGGTCAGTGCCGGCTCCTGCCGGCAGCGCCCCGC